ATTTTTTTTTTCAAACTTGGACTAAATATAAACACACCGGCTTGTTTGAATATGTATGTGTGCTTGCCTGAGTTTATGTGTGCCGATATTTTCAATTATATGCGCGTTATCAATACATATGTACATATCGTTACCTTAATATATAAAAGCCATATATAAAACATTTGTTCCTTTACGGATTGATGAAAAAACTCCATAGAAAATCGAGTATTTTTGCTGCGAATTTCGTTTAAAGGCTGTTTTTATTTAAGAATGTAACTAATTTTATACTGTACTAGATATTTTTAAAATCCAGGAGGTGCTTACAGAGTTATCGGCAGACTTTTGTACAATACTGGATTTGAAACGAAAATGAGTTAGGGCCTTTCTATATTAAGGTGACGGTGTGTAGATATTGTATATATAACTCGATTGACAGTGGAACCTTTACTTTGACGTATGAAATACTAGATTTAATTTGATTTGGTTGCTTTTTGCTTAAAAAAATGTATCGCTTCCAGTCATGAACGTAAATGCTGCGGGCGAAAATTCTTGAGATGAGCTGATATGTATAGGTGCACTAAAGTATGCCACAGTTTTCGTATCTCTCTCTCCAATCGAAGTGTATACCCGGTAGCTCCAACCGTTCTCCGATCCCAAGGTTTGCAATTGTTCTCCTTCCCGCCGCACTACGCACGCTCCTCATTCCTCTGGTCTCTACATTAAATACAATCGCCTTCCACCTCCTCTTGATTCACATCCTGATCGAATTCATCATCTGCGGTAGCTTCCTGATATTGCTGGTATTCGGATACTAAATCGTTCATGTTGCTTTCTGCCTCGGTGAACTCCATCTCATCCATACCTTCGCCGGTATACCAATGCAAGAAGGCCTTACGCCTAAACATCGCTGAAAATTGCTCGGAAATACGTTTGAAGAGCTCTTGTATGGCAGTGGTATTACCAATGAAAGTTGAGGACATCTTCAGTCCCTTGGGTGGGATGTCACACACTGCAGTCTTCACATTGTTTGGTATCCATTCCACGAAGTATGAGCTGTTCTTATTCTGCACAGCTAACATTTGTTCGTCCACCTCCTTCATTGACATGCGACCACGGAAAACGGCAGCGACGGTCAAATAACGACCATGACGGGGATCGCAGGCAGCCATCATATTCTTTGCGTCAAACATTTGCTGTGTCAATTCGGGCACAGTCAGAGCGCGATATTGTTGAGAGCCACGCGATGTTAGCGGCGCAAAGCCGGGCATGAAGAAGTGTAGTCGGGGGAAGGGCACCATGTTGACAGCTAATTTACGTAGATCTGCGTTTAGTTGACCAGGGAAACGCAGACAGGTGGTCACACCAGACATTGTAAGCGATACAAGGTGGTTGAGGTCACCGTAACTTGGGTTGGATACCTTCAGAGTGCGGAAACAAATATCGTAAAGCGCCTCGTTGTCAATACAATAAGTCTCATCAGTGTTTTCCACCAATTGATGGATGGACAGGGTCGCATTGTATGGTTCGACGACGGTATCAGATACCTTTGGCGAAGGCACCACTGAGTAGGTGTTCATTATACGATCAGGATATTCTTCGCGTATCTTCGATATAAGTAATGTGCCCATGCCAGAGCCCGTGCCACCGCCCAATGAGTGTGTCAACTGAAAGCCCTAAGGAAGACGCAAAATAAACTGAGAGTATTAAATGTAAATACTAACTTTAGAAAAATATAATTTACCTGCAAGCAGTCACAGTTCTCGCACTCCTTACGCACCACATCCAAAACATTATCCACCAATTCAGCACCTTCGGTGTAATGACCCTTAGCCCAGTTATTGCCAGCTCCCGATTGACCGAAAACAAAGTTATCAGGTCGAAAAAGTTGTCCATAGGGACCAGAGCGCACCGACTCCATGGTACCGGGCTCAAGATCGAGTAGGATAGCACGAGGTACATACTTTCCTCCGGAGGAACGCGTTACAGCTACGAAATAACAATAATAAAAGGTTTTGTAAATAATCGGCACGGAGTTTCCATTAGCAGAAAGTGTAAATAAGTTATGAAATAAAAATATAAGAAACAAAAGTAAAATATTGAATAAACTGTGTGTATATACAGACTTGCGCAAATGCATTAATTTTTGAAATTTTATACTAATTAAAATATTATTGCATTAATTTTGAAAATCCATTGCTAAATAAAATTTTAATTCATTAATTCTTAAAAATACATATCGTCGCCTACAGTTCAAAACCCTCTATCAACAAAATGCAAAACCGCGTATCAGCAAAATGCAAAACCGCGTATGTGAAGTTGTAGAAATTATTTTCTAGGGCGTAAAAACACTCATATTTCAAAATGGTTCTCTTTTTTATAAAGCATCGACGNGAGCGTAAAAACACTCATATTTCAAAATGGTTCTCTTTTTTATAAAGCATCCACGATATCGTCGTTTAAAGTACAAAACCGCGTATCGTCATTCTGCAAAATCGCGTAACTGACATTGGCTGCCAAAAATTGGATTTGCTCACACAAGCTCTTGGCTCAATCCTTATCCATTCGTCCTGAAATATACTAGCTAGAAAGCGATTGCTTTATAAAAAAGAGAACTATTTTGAAATATAAGTGTTTTTACGCTCAAGAAAATAATTTCTACAACTTCACATACGCGGTTTGGCATTTTGCTGATACGCGGTTTTGCATTTTGTTGATACGCGGTTTTGCACTTTAAACGACGATATACTCCTGATGAAATTAATGCATAAAAATTTTCAATAATTTTCCTGGTTTGCATTAATAAAAACAGTGATGGGCGTGCCTAAATACNGGTTTTGCATTTTGTTGATACGCGGTTTTGCACTTTAAACGACGATATACTCCTGATGAAATTAATGCATAAAAATTTTCAATAATTTTCCTGGTTTGCATTAATAAAAACAGTGATGGGCGTGCCTAAATACTGTTGTATTGAGAGCAGGGACGTGAACCGGTTTTGAACCGAAACGGTTTTGAACCGGAAACCCGCTCTTTTCTATTAATTAACTGAACCATTAACCGAACCGAAATTTTCCACAAATGTTTGATCTGAACCGAAAATCGAACCACTTTCTATAAAGATTGAAAGGTTCATTTCAACCAATTTTCAATAGATAAATGTTCCCAGTTTTTTACTTTTTGGTAAACATGGTAATACCCATCATGTTTGTTTACCATGTGACAATATCAAATGTAAAGGCAACCCATCTCATTTGACAGACACTTGACCCTTAACCTTGCGCGTTGTTGCACTTGACACTTGACACTTAAACTTGCGCGTATTTTTTTTTGTTTTTCGAACCGTTGAACCGAACCGAAACTCCGGTTCAAAGACCAAAAAAACCGCTTTGACGAACCAATCCAAAAGTGCAAAAACGGTTCGAACCGCTGAACCGAACCAAACAAATTTTTCATCCGGTTCACGTCCCTGATTGAGAGTACCACTTTGAATACTAAAGTACTTACTTACTTAAGTACTACTCAAGTACTTAGTATTTGGAGATGTCCAAATATTCAATTTCAAAAAGAAAATTAGATACTCAACTAAAAATTTGCTATTTCGGAGTTGCTAAATATTCAGGTAAAAAAACTTGGGTATTTAGGAGTGGCTAAACACCTTAGTAAAAGAAATCTTATATATGTGTTTATAAGTGTAGAACAAAAAGACCACGAAAGTGCTAGTCTATATTAAAAGCATTCACGTATAGGGTAAAAAGCTATTCACAACTTACACCTTAGAGACCGCAGTGCTCATGACTCATAATAATAATAGTTCGAAACCAGTTCGGGCCTAGTTCTTATTCAGTTTGGGACCAGTTGAAATCTTGTTCGGGACTAGTTTGGGACTAATTTGTGCTTAGGTCCGAACAAACTGAAGCCTAGTTCGTGACCAATTCTGGACTTGTTGTGGAGAGTTCAGGCCGAGTTCGGGGCTAGCTTGGCACCAGTTCACGTCCATTTCATTTAAAGTGTGAGTTTCCGTTTCAAAATACATCCACAGTTAGTGAATAGTCCTAAACTAAAAGCATAGTAGTCCAAAACTGGTCCGAAACTACACCCGCATTGGACCCGAACTAGTCCTAAACTGAGCCCGAGATTCCCCAAATTGTCCATAGAATACCGAAAATCCTAAAACTGTCCCGAAAGTGCCGAAGTAGCCTCGAAAATACCATACTTTTCTATAAATCCGACCACATCATGCAAAGCCGATTACGTCGATTACCTTTGATGTAAGCGTGTTGCGCTGTTGATAGGAATTCTTTTACCAATAGCGATCTTATGTATATGTCTATCAATCTTTCCAGTGTTTGAAGAACACCTTTACCGTTTCGTGGTTCTTCCTATCCGGTTTTGGAAAGAACACTACTTTGACTCGTCTCCAACTCCGGGGGACATAGTTCATACTAATACATACAGGCTTTATAAAGAGATCCAAGAAGCGGCGCTTTTCGCTCCTTTGATTGCTGTAACATGGCCGTTATTATACCACCCCGGCCAGGGGATTTAAAACGAGAGAAACCATTTATTGCATAGATGATCTTCTCTATGCTTATTGTTGATTCCAGTACCCTACTAGGTGTGTTTGGAAGTTCTGTTCCACCTAGTGTTGCTTCATGCTGTTTACAGCCTGGGAAGAGGGATTGCACTAGCATTTCTGCGGTTTTATCAATAGAGCTTGTCCATATATCATTTATCCCTTTAATAAATGATAAATTGGTGTGTTCCTTTGAGAGTATATTGCTTAGCCTAGCCGAGTCTCTAACATTCTCTATAGTGGAGCAGTAACAAAACAAAAACTATATAAGTCCAAATTTCAATCTTTATGCAAAGTTTTAATTTGATTTTTAAAAATATTCTGAGTATTCAGTTTTGTAGCCCATTCAATTTTATTTTTGTAACAAAATGCAAGTTTAAAGTAGCTCCGACTTACCGTTGAGTTTTGGGAATTTTTTCATTTTTTTGAAGGTGTTGCTCATTTTCTCTATATAAAAAAATCGTTGAAAATACTTCGTATGGAAGAAAATTACATCAACAAAAAATCCCAAAAATCAACGTTAATTCCCAGCTACTTTAAAATTGCACTTTGTTGTACTAAAATTGAATTGGCTACAAAATGCATAAATATTCAAATTATTTCAAAAAAATTTAATTAAAAACACGAAATTTTTACAAAAGTTTTTTGATTTTTTTTTCAATTTTGCACAAAAGTTTGGATTTTTATGGTTTTTGTTAAAGAAAAAACTTTTATTAAACAAAAACCAAAATAATCAAAATTATGTAATATTAAGATAAATGGTCAAATTTTGTCAATATGAAAATGTCGCAAAGTTATGATAAGCACTATATGTATATTTTTGACCAGAAAGTGCAACCCTCTACGTCCACAAATAATATTTCTTGAAAATAAAATTAGTTAATGGGTTTTTAATGCTGGTTATACATTTAATGCAACAACTTATTGCATTACAGTTATGTAATTTAAAAATATTATCTAATGTTAAAGGAATCACTCTTGCCAACAAGTGCTACTTTGGACTGCGTAGGCAATTGAGAAGTAAAGTCCTCTCTCGTCGTACAAAGATCGCCCTCTGTAAATTACTCCTCAAAGATTTTGCGGAAGATAACAGGCCTTTACGCATTGGCGATGTCGAGTACCACAGACAATGGAATGATGAGCTGTATGAGCTTTACAACGACATGGACATAGAACAGCGAATTAAAATACAGCGGCCCCGCTGGCTTGGCCATGTCGTTCGAATGGACGCCGACACTCCAGCTCTGAAAGTATTCAACTCGGAACCCGCAGGTGGTAGCAGAGGAAGAGGGAGACCCCCACTGAGATGGAAAGACCAGGTGGAAAAGCACTTGGTTTCACTTGGTATTTCCAACTGGCGTCAGTTGACACAGGAAAGAAACGATTGGCGTGCTTTGTTGAACTCGGCCAAAATCGCTTAAGAAGAAGAATGTTAATGCAAAAAATGTGAATATTATTTCTTCGGAGTTAATGCTTTGAAATTTTTATTTGCACTAAATTTCAAAAATTAATGCATTATTTTTTACATTAACACTAAAACACTATGCATTGAGAAATAAGTGCTTTTTGACAACACTGGTACATACATACATACATATGAATGTACGTACATAGAAAATGAAAGCCACTTTCACAATATCTTCTAACAGAATAGGTTTGTGGGGTTGTTCTACTCATAAATACCCGTAAACATTATAAAACTTGTTGCAGTAAACTGCTTTGTATACTATACTATTGATAATATGTAAGTAAATATAAAACGTCAGATGTACTGCCTTTCAAATTAACGCACTGAGGCAATAGCAGAATTATGAAGTGTTCGAAATGAGCCGCACGTGCTCCACCTCGTTTTTCCACGCATGGGTGCACCAAACCTTTAGGAGGCATATGTACTTAAATAAGAATGTACTTACATATATACATACATACATACCTACTCAATGTTGACCAAATAAGTAGCAGAAATGGGGACGAAATATCCCCACATTGTCCATTACTTATATATATGTAGAACATATTGAACCTAGCCAGCAATGAAAATCAAGTGCATATTTACTTGCGTACAAATTATCTTGCTGGCCTGACTCATTTGGCTAGACCCAAATTCTTCGTCGCTTAGTGATCATTTTCAATTATTTTTATGTGTGCTTTTGTGAATCTTCTGGTCAATTTACCCTTAATGAGTACAATATTGATAAACATATTTACGTCGGCTTCAAATTGCATCCAAACAGTCGTGTCGGAATGCGGCTAAGAGTTTAGTGCAGGCTTAACCCTGGATGGTACACCTTACTCTTCGTACACTAATGCACTCCTTCGTTGAGACAATTACGGTTATTTTGGACGCGTTGTAGTGATTTTTTTTATTGATGTTAATTTAATAAAAATAAAATATAGTTTCACTTCTTCAGTAATTCATATAACATAAAAAGAGGTAAAACTAATTAAATGAGTGTCAAACTACTAGATTGCCAGAAAAGATTTCTAGCAATAAGCTCTGACATATATTGACGCCCATTAGCAATAATCGATCTCCATTGGCAATATATTTTGTGACATGATTACCTCGTCAGAGTAATTGCCTATGGAGGGCCTATAAAACTTGAAACAAAAAAATCACGTCATCGATACCATGAAGAAGTACCTGGGTTAAATTACCATCATGTGATGCTAGAGTGGTGCGAATTTTGTTTGTAGTCGTTTTTATGACAATGTGAAAAACAATTGAAATTACATTGTAGCAAATTTCAAATTGCGAATAAGGCTTTAATATTTTGCTTTTGTGGTTACAATAGTTTTAATGTTTTGCCATTTAATTTTTTTTACCTGAAGCTTCGTTGTAGTAAACGCTGACTCGCTCCAATTGCAAATCACTGTCGCCGTTGTAAATACCATTGCTGTCGATTCCGTGCTCCTCTGAGATGATTTCCCAAAACTGGAACAGAAAAATGAGGAGAGGAAAGTAAAGTAGCATTAATCATAATTTCACTTTTATACATATCTAAATATTTTTTATACGAAAATGTATGTAAATCATCCCTGCCAGCATTTTCTAATCTTATATATAAATAGGCAATCATGTTTTCTTTACACCCCTTTTATGGCTAAACCATACCTTTTAGGTATAAACAATTATATATCATTAGCAGGGCCGGATATACGGGAAGGGAAGGGGGGAGGGCTGAAATAGGGGAAAAATCTACGGGATTTATTCCAAAACCAAAAAGGAATATATTTCTTATTATACTAGTATTATAGATTTTGAGATGAGAAACACTATTCCACTGTTCAAAATTCGAAAAAAATGTCAACCTCTCAATTTGAAAAATGCATTATATATTGCATTTTTTATGATTTGCATGCAGCTGTGCATCCTTCACTTACTTTTATATCCCTCGAACAATAAGTGCATTTCAAGACCTTTAAGTTGAGCCTTTAGGCCGTCTAAGAGCCAAGTTATAACAATTTTAAACCAAACTTCGAGACTGCTGTGCTAGTTTTTACTCCGAAATTAGAAAAAAAATTGCGTAAAATGTCGAATGAAATTTCAGAATCGTAACAATTTAGTTCTCAGACTTCTACCTTGGCTTAAATTAAAGGTCTTGAATAGCACTAAAATTGTGTGAAGGATGCACAGCTGCATGCAAATCATAAAAAATGCAATATGTAATGCATTTTTCAAATTGAGGGGTTGACATTTTTTTTCGTTTTTTAAACAGTGGAATCGTGCTTCTCGTTTCAAAATCTATAACATTAGTATAATAAATGGTACAAAAAATGATTTTTTAATGTATCCGTTGGATATTGCATGTTTTTTTTCGAAGAACAATATTTTTGACCAAACATATGACTGAAAACATGATTTATAAAAATATAATTTATTTATAACCTATCTATTTTTTGTAACAGGTAATCTCGCGAACGGCTGGCCCGATTTTAATGAAATTTTGCACATAAATAGCTTTCAGCAACTACCATGTTTTAGGCTAAAAACATGTACTTTTTCNGCTAGTTTTTACTCCGAAATTAGAAAAAAAATTGCGTAAAATGTCGAATGAAATTTCAGAATCGTAACAATTTAGTTCTCAGACTTCTACCTTGGCTTAAATTAAAGGTCTTAAATAGCACTAAAATTGTGTGAAGGATGCACAGCTGCATGCAAATCATAAAAAATGCAATATGTAATGCATTTTTCAAATTGAGGGGTTGACATTTTTTTTCGTTTTTTAAACAGTGGAATCGTGTTTCTCGTTTCAAAATCTATAATATTAGTATAATAAATGGTACAAAAAATGATTTTTTAATGTATCCGTTGGATTTTGCATGTCTTTTTCGAAGACCAATATTTTTGACCAAACATATGCCTAGGTTAGCATATAGGATCTTTTTTTCCGGGAAGTTGACCAGGAACTGATATTTTCGAAAAAATGTCAGTATTTATTGTCTGATTTGCTTAAAATTTGATATGTAGGTAGCTTTTTGCTAAGATAAGCATGAAGATGAAGATGAAGATCAAGATCAAGATCAAGATGAAGATCTATATGAAGATCAACATCAAGATCAGAATGAAGATCAAGATCAAGATCAAGATCAAGGTCGAGATCAAGATCGAGATCAAGATCAAGATCAAGATCAAGACCAAGATCAAGATCAAGATAGACCAAGATCAAGATCAAGATAAAGATTNGTGGACCAGGGACCGATCTATTCGAAAAAATCGTATTATGGTCCGATTTGTTTAAAATTTGGTACGTAGGTAGCTTTTTGCCTGGGTTATTCGGAAAAATCGTATTTATGGTCCGATTTGCTAAAAATTCAGCACGTGGGTAGCTTTTTGCCTAGGTTAGCATATCGGGTCTTTTTTACGAGAAGTGGACCAGGGACCGATCTATTCGAAAAAATCGTATTTATGGTCCGATTTGCTTAAAATTCTAGTCTTATTATGGACGAATTTGCTTAAAATTTGGTGCGTAGGTAGCTTTTTGCCTAGATTAGCATATAGGATCCTTTATTCCCGGGAAGTGGACCAGGGACCGATCTATTGGAAAAACTCGTTTTTATGGTCCGATTTCCTTCAAATTTGGTACATAGGTAGCTTTTTGCCTAGATTAGCAAATAGGATTCTTTTTTTCGGAGAGTGGACCAGGGACCGATCTATTCGAGAAAATCGTATTTATGGTCCGATTTGCTTAAAATTAAGTACATAGGTAGCTTTTTGCCTAGATTAGCAAATCTGAGCCTTTTTTCCGGAAAGTGGACCAGGGACCGATCTATTCGAAAAAATCTTATTTATAGTCCGATTTTTTTAAAATTTGGTACGTAGGTAGATTTTGGATCCTTTTTTTTTGGAAAGTGGACCAGGGACCGATCTATTCGAAAAGTTCGTATTTATGGTCCGATTTGCTTAAAAATTGGTACGTAGGTAGCCTTTTCCCTAAATTAGCATATAGGACCCTTTTTTTCCGAAAACTGGACCAGAGACCGATTGAAAAAATCTTATTATGGTCCGATTTGCTTAAAATTTGGTACGTAGGTGGCCTTTTGCCTAGGTTAGCATATAGGATCTTTTTTTCCGGGAAGTTGACCAGGGACTGATATATTCGAAAAAATTTCAGTATTTATTGTCTGATTTGCTTAAAATTTGATATGTAGGTAGCTTTGTGCTAAGATAAGCATGAAGATGAAGATGAAGATGAAGATCAAGGTCAAGATCAAGATGAGGATCTATATGAAGATCAACATCAAGATCAGGATGAAGATCAAGATCAAGATCAAGATCAAGGTCGAGATCAAGATCGAGATCAAGATCAAGATCAAGACCAAGATCAAGATCAAGATAGACCAAGATCAAGATCAAGATAAAGATTGAGATCAAGATCAAGGTCAAGATCAAGATCAAGATCAAGATCAAGATCAAGATCAAGATCAAGATCAAGATCAAGATCAAGATCAAGATCAAGATCAAGATCAAGATCAAGATCAAGATCAAGATCAAGATCAAGATCAAGATCAAGATCAAGATCAAGATCAAGATCAAGATCAAGATCAAGATCAAGATCAAGATCAAGATCAAGATCAAGATCAAGATCTAGATCAAGATCAAGATCAAGATCAAGATTTTTCTTTTGATTTTTTTTAGCTTTTTTGATTATAGCAATTTTAAAATTTTTATTTTTACATAAAAACCATGATTCAATAATTAAAGGTTTGCTCATTAGTGACATTAGAATTGNAGATCAAGATCAAGATCAAGATCAAGATCAAGATCAAGATCAAGATCAAGATCAAGATCAAGATCAAGATCAAGATCAAGATCAAGATCAAGATCAAGATCAAGATCAAGATCAAGATCAAGATCAAGATCAAGATCAAGATCAAGATCAAGATCAAGATCAAGATCAAGATCAAGATCAAGATCAAGATCAAGATCAAGATCAAGATCAAGATCAAGATCAAGATCAAGATCAAGATCAAGATCAAGATCAAGATCAAGATCAAGATCAAGATCAAGATCAAGATCAAGATCAAGATCAAGATCAAGATCAAGATCAAGATCAAGATCAAGATCAAGATCAAGATCAAGATCAAGATCAAGATCAAGATCAAGATCAAGATCAAGATCAAGGTCAAGATCGAGATAAAGATCAAGATCAAGATCAAGAATTTTCTTTTGATTTTTTTTAGCTTTTTTGATTATAGCAATTTTAAAATTTTTATTTTTACATAGAAACCATGATTCAATAATTAAAGCTTTGCTCATTAGTGACATTAGAATTTTGATACTCCCTTAGCTCCCTTACAAAAGCTTTGCACACACATACGAACCCACACACAGTGCCTTGCTAAGGGAACCGATTTTGGCAAGAGGGAGCGAGAAAACTGTTTTCTGTTGCATAAAAACATTGTCTATAATGTCACTTGAAATTGAAATTTAATGAAATTGTAATTTTTTTGAAAGAGGAAAGGCGTGTAAAAACNGGAACCGATTTTGGCAAGAGGGAGCGAGAAAACTGTTTTCTGTTGCATAACAACATTGTCTATAATGTCACTTGAAATTGAAATTTAATGAAATTGTATATTTTTGAAAGAAGAAAGGCCGTACACCCGAAGCCCTATACCAATGGGGTGCTGTATGTTTCCAATGGGATTCCTGTAAAAAATAACAGCAACTAACCGACTCAACTTCGACTACGACTACGTGCCAATTACTTTAATCTTATTTTAAGCTAGTTTAAAACGTTAAATAACATCAAGTTGGGGAACTTCACATCCTTATTTAACGAATCTTTAAATCAATAAATATTTTTTTTTTAGTTCTTATTGTAATAAAAGAGTGTTATCATATCGGCAAAATTTGCTGCACGTATATTCATGTCACCTAGACCTTCACTCTCTTCAACTTTCATCCAAATCCTGAGAGGTCGCGCACAGAGGTGGCCGCGGTGACATGAAATGCCTCAAATACGAAAACTGCAATATTTTTGTAACTACTGAAGCTTATTCACTCAAAATTTGTAGTTACAATGATCTCTTGGGGGAAAATAAGAATACATATTATGAATTTTTGGGGAAATGGGCGTAGCCACGTCCATGTACGTATGTCTCGGTAACCGCTCCCAAACCTGGCACAGTAGTTGACCTTGGTAAAAAACATCGAACGGCTGAAAATTTTTAAAATGGGACAGTAACCACACACACACACACACAGTAAATTTATTCATAATTGCAAACATCAATAAATTCTTAGCAGAAAATACGTGTGAAACTAATTTTTGGAAAATGGGCGTGGAAACGTCTATTTATGACCACATACAAATGTGTAGCTCGGTAACCGTTCTATCAAATTGCACCAAACTCGGAATAATTATTGTACTTGCAACACAAAAGCAAGAAGTTGAAAATTTTTGAAATCAGACTAATATTACGTTCAA